TATTCTAGAGCTTTATTCTTCACTCCCAAGCTCTGCCTTAAGATAAAAAATATATGCACATACATATACACCAAACACACACACACACACACATACACACACACACACATACACAAAACTGGTGGAAGAAAAGCACTTTTCTTTATCACATTGTTAGTAACCACCCCAACAGTAATATAAATAACCCAAATTTCATAGTCTATAACTGGTGGTCTGGCAGTGTTTTCTTGATTTAAAAACAAAATTATTGTTAACTCAAAGTATAATTCTTCTGAAAAATAAGCTCCGGTCCAGAATAGTGTGTTGACTTCTCATTGTAATATATAGGTGACTCACTGTCCTGTCTAACGTATTCTTTAGCAATTGTTACTGTGTACTGTGTATGAAATTATTTGTGTATCCATGTAAGATTTATCAGAAACAGCTATAGGTATTGAGAATAAAGCAATGAACAAAAAAGAAGACAATCTGTACATTCAAGAATCTGTACATTCAGAATATACGTACATTCTGTACGTATATTCAAGTGTGCATTAGGGGAGGGAGGAGGCAATACACCAAAAAACAAGTAAAATAAATGCTTTGCCATATGATGATAAATGTTATTAAGAAATGGAACAAAACACAGTTGCTGCCTAAGGCACTCACGATTATTGTCTCCACTTCACCATATCCCGTTCTTACTGTAACCCATTGCACAGTCTTTTCTAATAATCATCAGCAGCACTCTGCCCAATCCATGACTGTCAAGGTCACCAGCAATTTCCTCCATGCTGAATCCAATGGCCAATTTTCAGTTCTCTTTTCTACTTAATTCCTAACTCTCTCTTTTTTGAAACATTTTCTTCTCTTGACTTCCATGCAGTAGTGTGCTGTTCCAAATTCATAGTTTAGTTCTGAACTCATCCCATGTGCCAGATATGAATGCTTATGTGCCTACTCAAGAGCTCCACTTGGATACCTACTTAGAATCTCAAACTTATATCTGAGAAAGAATTATAATATCTTCTCTAAAACCTATTTCTACAGTTTTTCCCATATTAATAAATGGCACTGCCATTCACTCAGCTGCTTAGGTCAAAAAGCAGCTAGGAGTCATCTTTATATATTTTTTTTTTCTTTCTTTCACATCCTATAACCAACCTCTCAGCAAGCTTTTCTGGTTGTATGACCAAACTCCACTACTTCTCATCACCTCCATAGATGCCAACCTAACTGAGGCCACTGTACCTTTTTAACAGCGGCTTCATTGGTCTCCCTGCCCCTGTGCTTACACCCCTTTCATCTATACCTCACTTAGTAGACAGAGTAATCTTTTTAAAAATTTCAGTCAGAGCATGTCATTCCCTTACTCAAAATCTTTCACTGGCTTCTTAGAATAATTAGTGAAAAATCCACAGCCTTTACCATAGCCTGTAAGAGTCAACTTGATCTGGTCTCTAGCACATTCTTTGACCTTCTCTCAATATCTCTGTTGCAACATTCACTTGCTGGCTTTTTCTTTTGCAAAAGCACTAATCTGGTTACAACCTCAGGTACCTTTGCATTTGTTGTCCTCTGTACCTGAAGCACTCTTCTTTTCAGATGTTCTTACAACTCCATCTTTACTTCAGTTGCTTCTATGCCTAAATGTTAATCCTCAGAGAGACCTTTCCTGACCACCCTATCTGAAATATCTTTTTGCCCTTCCACTGGATATTCCCTGATCATCTTCTTTTTTTTGTAACAGATACTACCAGTTACTATATTCTGTCTTTATTAATTTGCTTGATTACTTCATCTCTGTCACTAGCATGTAAGTTTCTTGAAGGAAACAAATTTGTGTCATATTCACCCCAGCATTTTAAATAATGCCAGTGTGTAAGGTGCACAAGAATATTTGCATAATAGATGGTAAAGAGAGGTATACACAGTTGGATAGCATTTGAGCCATGCCTTAAGGAGAAAGTTGAATTTTGAAAAGTAGATGAAGTAACAATAATTAAAATCAGAAAGATCTTGCATAGGTGGGGTAAGTTTGTAATGGTCTTTATGTTATTCTGTGAAGTTTATGTTTACCTTATAGGTGATAGCTGTTTCATATTTCTCAGAAAAGTTACTTTTTTAATAAAAGTTTTGATACTTAAATAGATAATGGATTGGAATGTGACAGACTAGGGGCAGAGAATCAATTATGGAATTTAAAGTAGAAATTATGAGGGTATTTACAAACTAATTGACTTGTCTATAATCTATCATAAATGTGTTTTCACTTGACTAGATAATCAAGTCTTTAATAATTAGCAGATAGATATTCCTTTTTTCCTTCCTCTTCCCTTTTTTTGTTCATTACTGTAATTGTTGAATGCTGTGATACTGCGTGATTATTAATGACGTAAAATCAGAAATGCATGTAGATGAGTTGTGTTTAACAATGTTAAACAGATTTGAGCTTGCACTTCAATAATATGTCATATATTTATTATAAAGAATTATTCTAGGTATTTTGCCATGGAAAAAAGTTTTATTGCAATCTGGAAGATTAAAATACTCTCTTCCAAATAATCCAACATGTAATGAGGAGATATTCTAACTATTATACTATTGTATACAACTTTTGCACATTTAAAAATTAGGTCATAGTAGAGTAAAACAAGTTGAGTACCCATATCTGAAGTGCTTGGGACCAGAAGTGTTTTCTATTTCTGATTTTTTTTTTGATTTTGTAATATTTACATATACATAATGAAATATCTTGGGAATGTGACCCAAATCTGAACACAATTCACTTATATATCAGATACACCTTATATACATAGCCTGAAGGTAATTTTATACAATATTTTTCATAATTTTGTGCATTAAACAACTTACATGTACATTGTGCCATTAGAAAGCAAAGGTGTCCCCGTATCAGTCACCTGTGTGGAAAGTCTCTGGTTGTTTGGCAGCACCCTCATTCCTGACTCTAAATTTATGTACTACCGATAAGTAAGTATTTTCTTACACTTATTCACATATAAAGTATGTTGTATACCTGCATTTTTATTGCAACCCATCACATGAGGTCAGGGGTGGAATTTTCCACTTGCAGTGTCATGTCTACTCAAAATGTTTTGAGCAAAATGCTTTGAAGCATTTTGGATTTTAGATTTTTGGATTAGGAATACTTAATGATATATTGTGTGTGTATACACATGTATACACACACACATACACACATCATGCCTATATATATACTTTTTAAAAATTTAAAAATAAAGAATTTAAAACTCAGAAATGAACAAACATTATTGGAAGCAACAATAAATTCATTGAAGTGAAAATGATGAAGCAATGATTTTATATCAGAGACATTATTTTTACTGGTTTGAAAAAGTCTTTCAGATAATCAGCTCACTATTTTATTTTTCCAGTTGATTTCATTAATTTACCTTTTTCAAAATTGATTCTTTGTTCGAATCAGTCTAATTGAGTTTCTCCTGAGCCCTTGTCCCATAACCTAACAATCAACATGCATCCTCCTTCCTTTGTTGACAAGACACTTTCTCAGGGAAACAGTATCTGTTACTACAAGAGAATGCATGTTTTTCTTCTCCATGATCAGCACCAGTGATCTTTCTGTGAATTAGGAATTTATTAACTGTGAAAATCGCAGATATAATCAGTTGAATTGGTAGAGATAGTTGATAGATTGCAGGTTTTAAATGGAATCAACACATTTTGAAGGTCAGATGAGGTTAATTCATAATGGAGACAGCATGCTTAACTTAATCCTTGCTGGTAAAACACAAGTTCAAAGGAAGTTTCTTTTTCTTTTCTTTTTTTTTAGTTTTATCTTTTATTTTTTAAATCTTTTTTTGGGTTTTCTTAATTTCAAAATATTTAAGGGGGTACACATGTTTTTGCTACATGGATGACTTGAATAATGCTGATGTCAGGGCTTGTAGTGTGCCCAACCCCAGAGTTGTGTACATTGTACCCAATAGGTACATTTTTATTCCTCACCCTCTACCATCCCCCCTTTTTAGTTTCCAATATCCTTTATACCACTACATAAACATGTAAACCCATCGTTTAGCTCCCACTTATTAGTGAGAACACGTGGTGTTTGTTTTTCCATTTCTGGGATATTTTGCTTAAGTTAATGTTCTCCAGTTCCATCCAAGTTGCTGCAAAAGGTATTATTTTATTCCTTTTTAGTGGCCAAGTAGTGCTCCATTACATATATATAAATATAGATAGATAGATATCTATATCTATATATAGATATATCTCATGTTTTCTTTTCCACTCATTAATTTACTAATATCCAGAATCTTCAAAGAACTCAATCAAATCAGCAGGAAAAAAAAAATTATTAAAAAGCGGGCAAGACATGAATAGAGTGTTTTCAAAAGATAAACAAATAGCCAAAAAACACATGAAAAAATGCTCAACATGACTAATCATCAGGGAAGTGCAAATTAAAACCACAATGAGATACCACCTTACCCCTGTCAGAATGGCCATTATTAAAAAAAATTCAAAAGAAGTTTATTAAAATGAAGCTGAACTATTGAATACACACTATGTGTGTATTCAACGATTTGCTTAGGTTTAGGATTCACGTGGTTCCTTAAGTCTTCCTCTTTGGTTGGTGCCTAAAATGCTAAGTAGGCT